TCATAGGCAGCATAGATTACAGTTCATAGCCGGTGACACTGAGCCAGAGGAGCGAGCCAAGGATGTGACAGGGTTCTCCTTGTAAACGTACCTCGTTGCCCCCTTTCTCTCCTAGCTTCTGAGGCTTGGACCGGGCATCTGCCCTGCCTTACAGGTGCAAGATCATTACAACCCACCTCCTGGAAGGGAGAATATCTACAAGGACTTACCCTCCCTTCCTCATTTATACATAATCAATAGTATGTGCCTCAAATACGGTATTATTTTATACTTAAGCTGTCATTCAATGTTATCTGAGTTCTAGGTCTCAGCACAACCACACATGTCAGAGTATCCTTCAGATCAGCGACCAGGTTGACATAAAGGAAGGGGGTGGGAAGAGATCATGGAGGTGTATTTCATGGTGTCTGCCTCCCTGGCAGTGATGACTGTCAAACTCAGCTCCCTCCTCTCCTTGAAGTGGACTGCTTAATGACAGGGAGGAAAAAGCCATGGCAGTGATGGGATAAGGGCCCCAGAACAATTTCAGGGTCTGGGCTGCACACATGTCACCCCAACCTAGGTCTGCACCATGACTGCAGGACATAAACTGCTAAGCCAGGGGCACTACCTGGCCACACACTTTTGAAAACACACCTTTTGAAAAAGTAAAGCCACATGCGTGAACATCTCCATGCGTTTTATGACTTCCTTCAAATGCAGATAAGCAGACCCACATCAATACATTGACCAGGCCAGCACCCTAACAGGCCCCCCAGCATATGAGACTGTGCAGAGACTGAGTTTTCTAACACTCATGGATGGAATGTCATCAACACAGAGAATTCGATCATGTGCTCTGAGAGTGACCAGTGCTGATTCTCAGATACTCTTGATTTTTCCAGATTGTTCCTGTGCTGGTGAATGGGGGGATTACAGGAGGTGGTGGTAATCCTGGACCTGGGTTCCCCACCAGCTGAGCTTGGGGAACTGTCCTCCTCCCCTGCCTCCCACTTATCACCCCACTTTTGCTGTCACTGGGATGAGGTGCCATGGGCTGAGCAATTAGGTGGCATCAGGGAGACAGAGCTGCGCCCAGAGCTGGGTGTTGTGCACAAGAGCCCTGTGGCCGGCCAGGCCCCACGGGTGACGCTGACGCCCTGACAGCAGGGAGGTGAGGCTGAGCCTGGGCCTGAGAGCATAAAGGTCCTGGTGCTGCTGCTGTGCAGACGGGCCAGAGCCCTGCTGCTCCGCTGCCAGGTGAGTGTCCCTGAGGCCTGCAGGGGCCGCCTTTGTGGGAAGGGGCAGGTGTGAGGGAGAAAGGTGACTCTATCACTAGGAAGAGGAAGGTGGCCAGACTGGGGAGGACAGCGCACCCTTCTACCTGCCCCCAGAATCATCTCTATTTCTCTGCTGCATGAGGAGCTGTCACGGGGCAGCTTACACGAATTCAAATATTTCTCCAGATGGACTGGCTTGTAAACTCATCTCTGTGGTTAACATGCAGATTTACAACCAGAACCACATGCCTCATTTAATACTTTAACCACAAGAGTTATGTTTTGTTTTTAACTTTCAATACCAGGTACTATGTTAGGTTTCTTAGATCCTGGACAGAAGGGGAGCCTCTCCCCAGGCCTCCACTGCTGAGAGGGAGGAAACAGGTGCACGGGCCATGGGGACAGACCCAAGGAGCTCAGGGGAGACGTCACCTAACAGTCTAAGCTGGTGTGAGAGGGGGCACCTGTTAGCTCATAAAGGGGGCAGCTCAACATCAGTAAATTATGCACACTTTTTGGGGGGCAGTTGAAGGTCAATAAAAAATAATGTTAGTAAGAAGCCCAGGAGGCCAAACTGGGAGGAAATTATGTTTAGATTCAAGGGTGACATGTGAAGTCACATGGTTGTGAGAAGTAAAAGGGACAGTTTGTAGCTGCCAGAGTTTGTTCTGAGCATAATACAGGAGCAGAAAAAACAGTACTATAAATGACAGTGGGAGATTTCAGGAGGACTGACCAGCAGGGAGGGCTTTTCGGGAGGAAAGACATCCAAGATTTGACAGAGATAAAGCCAGACCCATTTGAGTGCAGAGAACCAGAGGCTGGCATGGGGACTCTGCTCATTTGTTGCCAGTGCTGGCAGGAGAAGTGGAGGACGCACTAGGAAAGAGGGAAGAAATCTGCACTCTGCTGCAGCCCCCAGAAGATCAGGAATACAGATTACCACAGAGGCTGGACTTTTCTCTGCCCCTAGTGGGGCCGCAATAAGTCTCCTAAGCTACTCTGTGAAACTGTAATGGGGCTGAAGCCAGCGGCTGTTCCAAAACCAGTGGGGTTCCCCGACCCCCAACCCTGGGGACCCCAACCCTCCCTCACTGTGCCTCTTAGTTCACTGTCCGCGGCAAGTTTGTTGACAGCGACTACTTTTCAATAATATTTTTCAGTTTCTCTGAAAAATGCTTCTGGAATTTTGATAGGAATTGTGTTCAATGAAGAATATGGTCACTTTGATTATATTGTCCCTTCCCAGCCACAAGCCCATGACATCGTTCCATCTCTTTATCAGCTGTCCTTTCCTAACATTCTGTGAGTCTTATTACAACTTTTATCTCCTTTGTTACCCTGATTCTGAGGTATTTAATTCCTTTTGAAGCAATTATAAATGGAGTTATTTTCCTCTCTTTTGTTTCTTGTTCATTCTCTGAATATTAAAAAAAAAAAGGTGGGGCTTTTGGGTGTTGGTTTGTAGTCTGTCACTTTACTGTACTAATTTTTTGTTTCTGATAGCCTTTAGATGTCCTGTATGGAATATTATGTCACCTGAGAATCGAGGTAGTTTTGCTTCTTTTCATTCTTGGATTCTGTGTATTTCCTGTGTTTGTCTAGTAGCACTGAAAAAGCCTCCAGTTTTAAGTCACACACAAGTGTTGACAATGGGATCCTTATCTTATGCCAGATCTTAACAGGGAAAGCTTTCAGTTTTTCATCGATGAATATTATAATGGATACTAGCCTTTATTATATTGAGGTAGACTCCTCCTATTTCCAAATTTAGACTTTTTATCATAAGGGGCTGTTGAATCTTACCAAATGCTTTATTTTATCATCATATAATTTTTATCTTTATTTTTGTTGATATGGTGTATTCCATTCATTGATTTACATATATTGCACTATCTTTGCATCCCTGGGATGAATCCCACTTGATCACCCTATAATCATGGTGTATAATGCTTGTATGAGATATTTAAAATACAACCACTCCATAATCTTTTCCCCAGCAAGATTAACAATTAAATAGAAGGAAGAGTAAGGAGCTGCACTGAAAAGCAAAACGATGAAAACTTATCAATGCCATATCACACATGAAAGAAATCCTAAGGGACCCTCCCTGGTGATGCACAGCACTATGAAGTTATCCACAGCCACTGCAGCGTGAGTTTTATCCCCAGCCAGGGAGGTGACCCTGGCACAATAGACTCTTAATTCTTACCTGCTGTCCCCCTCAGCAGTGTATTTCAGTCTGTTCTGCTCCCCACTCTGTCCCTGGTAGTTCCTTTCATCCTTCCCCCCGCCCCCCGATACCTCTGGCTTGTACCCTGGTTCTTGTATATATAAATAAATCTTTAAAAAAGAAAAGAAAAGAAAAGAAGTCCTAAAGGGGTTATTATAAAGCACCAGAACAAGGAATATTGAGCACTGAAATCACAGGCACTGAAATCACTTTACATGGAGGAGGGAAAGTAACAATTGTTCTTGTTCCACCAGAACAAGCCAGAGACCAGAAATAGCCCATCACATACTAATCTCAGTAAAACCCTCAAATGCTAAGTAACAGAAGGAACACATATGACAGTGGGATTAGAACTTTAAGAATAACAAGAAGCTGTCAAAGAGAAATAAGACAAGACAAACCAAAGGCATGACAAAAAAAGAAACAAGTGCTTATAGTTGAACAACAGGCATCAATGTAAGCGACCTGAATTCAAGTTAGTATTTCCATCAGTTTTCTGATGTGATTTTACATCATTTTTTTCTGTGCATGTTTGGAGGAGGTAAGTCAGACATCCTCGTTCTCTGATCATCTCACTGAACTCACCAAAACTTAGTTATGTACCTCTCTGGTGGTACAAGGAGTTAGAGCGCAGCACTCTGAAGCTCTCTGCAGCCACTGCAGCACGAGTTTGATCCCAGGCCAGGGAGCTGACCCACAGGGCACAGCACACCTCTCCTGTCTCACCTGCTGCCCTCAGCAATGTACTTTATTAATCTGCCTGTTCTGCTTCCTGCTCTGTCTCTGGTGAATCCTCTGGCATGTACCCCAGTTCTTGTATGCATAAAGAAATAAATCTTAAAAGAAAAAAAAACTTAGCCAGTGCAAATAGTTGGAAAAATTACCATTCTTGCTTAGCCTTAAATTCAAAGTAGCTGAGGGATGAATGTATATTGACTGGTAAAGAGGAGCTGTTTGGGGCGCCATTACAAACTATTCTGCAAATAATTTACAGAGTGTGAGTAGCAAAGGAGAAGGAAGCATCTGAGCTGATATTAAGTACTATGCTTAGAAGTTACTCAGTGATACTGCCTTAGCTTAATACTGTCTGAGAAATATAAGGTCATGTAAACTTTACAGATGAAGGATAGATAGAAAGATCTCTGGAAAGGCAATTGGAGACACAGTGTGGCATTTATGAGACATGCCTGGGTGGGTTTGAAATTGTAGTCATCACCAGTTCTGTGTCAATAGAAGCAGAAGAAAAGCAAGCAGATAGAGAGCAAGGCTAAGATCAGAGATATACAAACAACAGAAGCAGGTGCATTGTCTTGTCACCAGAGAGAAAATGTCACAGGCCTGAACTATGTCATTTTTAACTTATGTTTCTCAAAAGTTTTTCCTAGCTCTGTTCATGACGTCACATGAATTGGAGTAACTTCGCCCAGGAATTATTCCTACTGTGTTTTTGTGGACAAGGACTTGTGGGCAACTTACTTTTACTAGTGGGATATTTATATAATGTAGCCATGGGTCTTGAGAAAAAGCCCATTGATCTTATCCTCATCCATTTGGTGTTTGCAAATACAATTATTATTTGTACCAATGGGAACAACGTTATAAACAAAATTTCCAGTTACCAAAATTTCATAAGTGAGGCTGGTTGCAAAGTGGTGATTTACGTGGGGAGGGTGGCCCGGGGCCTCTCCATCTGCGCCACCTGTCTCCTCAGCGTGGTCCAGGCCATCACCATCAGCCCCCAGACCTCGCCCTTCAAAAAGCTCCAGCCCAGGTCTTCATGGCAAGTGCTTCCCTGCCTTCTGCTCTTCTGGGTCTTCAATGTCCTGGTCAGCTCTAACCTGCTCCTTTACATCACCACAGTCCAGAGCTCCAACAGCTCCGAACTTAGACCATACATTAAGTACTGTGACATGCTCCCCTCTGGGCAAACAGTGAAGTGGCTTTTCCTCACGCTGATGGCTGTGCGGGACATCGTGTTTCAGGGGCTGATGGGCTGGAGCAGCGTCTACATGGCCTTCCGCCTGTGTCAGCACCGTAAGCGCGTCCTGCACCTGCACACGTCCAGGCTGCCAGGAAATGCCAGCCCGGAGATGAGAGCTGCTCAGAGCATCCTCATGCTCATGGCCTGCTTCCTTTTCTTCTATTGGGCAGATTTCCTTTTCTCCTTCTACATTGGCTCATTCAGGGTCAAAAATTACTCAGTTTTGTTTGTGCAAATATATCTGACCTCTGGTTATGCGAGTCTCAGCCCCTTTGTGCTGCTGAGCAGGGAAGTCCGCGTAGGTAAGTGCTGGCCAGCGCAGTGACTGGAAGGGATCCCCAGGAAGCGCTTTTACATGGATCCCTTTGACTTTTGACTTCAGGTACCAAAGTATCAAATGAATTATAGCTTTTAAGAAAAGCTTAATTTTCTTATCTTAAGCAGGGTCTTGGTATGAGGCAACCTCAGAATGCCTCAAACGATCTAGGAATGGGAAAGAGATGCTTTCAAGGACTCTGCTCCACCACCCCATCATGTAGCTGTTATGTTCTTACTTGCACAATTACTGAGACTATGTTGATTTTTACTTAAAAAAAACATGAGAAAATATTAAAGCTATTATGTATCTGCCTATATTTTCCAATAAAAGAGAAGGAATCAAAATTATTCTTTCATAATGTTGCTCGCATCGGAAGAAACTGAATATGAAGAAAGAAATTTCAGGATCTCTGAACATTACATATTTTGGATTTTAGACTGAAAAATCATATAATTATAGTATACAAATAAAAAGTAAGGAAAATCTAATGTAACAACCAAAGTAAAACAAGTACAAATAATATATAGAAGTAAACAGAATATATTTTCATTGATAGTCAAACCACAGTTGTTTTAAAATGACTCACACACACTTTATTTTCATATTGGTTTCCTGATTTTCAGCGGAAGTGACACTGTGTTATAACAGCTACACATTTCAGTTGTTCATCACTGAGCAGCAGCATGTGTGTATACCTCCTTAAGTTCGCTGCTGTAAAGCCAAAGTTACCCTAAAACGTATCATTGTCATCTTTGTTCCTCCCTTCTGCTAGCCAGAAGGGAGAACATTTCAAAAGTTTAATTTTGTTTCACTTAGGTCTTTTATTGTCTTCTTTTCTGTTTTTTGCCACAGAAGTGAAATCATTCCCTTCCCCCTCCCGCTCCCCCAGGCTTATTTTCCTAAGCTTAATTCCCTCTATCACTATCTAAGTTGTTACAATTGCCAGGATTCTACCCAGTCTTCCCATTACAGGTGTAAGACCTTTGAGAGCTATCCATACTGTTGTAGTATCTATGGTTACTGAATTTTATTGCTAGATACAATTTCATAATATTTAGATGTACCCCCTTTGTTAACTTTTTATCTTTGAGATACGTTGTGATCTATTTCCTGTTTTCCCCATTGCGAATAAAGTTGCTATGCTCATCTGTGTACAGCTTTCTGTGTGGACATAAAATTTGTATTCTTCTGGAGTAAATACCTAAAGTACATTTGTGATAAGAGTGTGTCTGGTCTGTCAGGTGCCAAACAGTTTTCCAGAGTATTCTATCTCCTATTTCTACCAGCAACATGTAAATGACCCACTTCTCCCCATTCTTGTCAGTATTTTATACTGTCAGTCTTTTTCATTCTTGCTGTTCAAAAGGGATATAGATGTCTTTGTTTCCATTTCTCTTGAGCCTAGTGACTTAATTCTGTGCAAACTGGTCAAACAGACCCAAAGCCAGAGCTGCGGAGATGATCCTGTCCAGGTATTAGGGAAAAGAATGCCCTGAAAGATCTCTACAGATACAGGTTTTGTGGACTCCACCTCAACCCCAGACATTGGGACTACAAATCCCACCATCACCAAAGGGATGAGGGCTAGGACTCCAGGGTGGCATTAAACAGCTGTGTTTGATACACCCATCATCACCAAAGGGAGGACTGCTAGGGCCAGACAGAGAGGTTAAACAGCCATTTTGTTGGGATATAAAACCAGACATGTGGGCTTTGGGGTCTCTTGGCCTGCAGCTGTTCTCTTGGCTTTTCACCGATTTTCAGTGAGCTATTGGGGTTCCAGTTCAGCGGAACTGGTAGGATGCATCTCTGTCTCTCTCTCTCCCCTGAGTTATTCATTTCCCTTTCAATAAATAAACCCATTATTAAACTTTTTGTGTGTGCCTACAATTAACTGTTATAAGTCCCTTCAAGCACACAGGTGAGGATCCACAGTCAGGCAACCCAGTTCAGACTGGGGATTGCCCTGTAACACAGGCATCTGCTGTATACCCAGTATATAAACTAGGGGTACTGGAGAGGCTGTGTCCACAAATACCATTGTCACCTCAGCCCCGCATCAGAGTGCATTACTCTATCTTGGGGAACAAACCCCTACAATTCAGTGTCATACATGACACACATTTATTATCTCCCTATTAGTGGAGGTTAGTAGATGTGGACCCCAGGTTGGCTGGATCAATAGCCTCTGAGTCTCACCTAGTTTCATCTCAGCCCAGGATGAACAGAGTCCCATCTCATCAGCCTCTTGGAGGTCAGGTCCATGTCCAAGCTCCACTCAAGGACAGAAGTCATTTCTCTAAGTGTCAATACACAGTGGGGTTTCTGTTACATGTTGAGGGCAGGAAGGATGTCTACAGACTGGTAATGGCCCAGGAAACACGGCCACAGCTGATAAAGCCCAGGCAGAGCCAGGTGATGCCAGGAGAGAGAATATCAGCCAGAACCCCAACCTACAGGCAGGTGATAAAGCCCAAGGAAGGCAAGAAGCACCCAGAAGGTGGCATTTCCTTGAAATTGGCCTGTTTCTGGGGCATAAGGCCATTCCCCAAACAAATTAAGCAGTACCCACAAAATCCCAAGTGCTCTTCCCATACCAAGGGAAGGAGAAGCTGGTTGACATCTTGGCTACTCAGGCCAGGTGCTCTTCCCCTCCCAACCTGCTATACAGGAACTGATAATACTACACCCCAGTGCACAGGAGAAGGGGGGGAACTTCTACCTCGACCTCTTACCAATACGCCAGGAAGCCTGTACAGGACAGCCCAGATGTACAAGGTGAACAGGTCCTGCTTCCCATTGGAGGCTGGAGCCCCCACAATTCCCTTGTGATTGTTCTTACCAAAGGCTTCCCAGTCAGGGGCCCCTCCCGGGGTTCCTTTTCTTAATCTAAATGAATGTTGCTTTTACTTTTGTAAAGATGTGGCTGTGGATCCTCACACTGTAGTCAAGAACTGAAGTACAGGGCCTCCCTGGTAGCTCAAGGGGTTAAGTCTCAGCACTATAAAGCAACTGTCAGCCACTGCAGCATGAGTTTGATCTCTGGCCTGGGAGCTCACCCACATGCTTCAGCAGACCTCTCATATCTCCTCCCTGCTCCCCTCAGCAGGATATTTTAGTAGATCTGCCTTTCTGCTCCCTACTCTGTCTCTGGGGAATCCTATCACCACCCCACCATTCCTCTGGTCTAAGCCCCAACTCTTACATGCATAAATAAATAAATCTTTTCAAAATTCACAAAGGCCAAACATCTCATACCGTCTGCCAAAGTCCAAGTTTGTGGGGGGTGCCCCTGAAAAGTCAGGGACCCTGAAGCTGGATCCTACTGGATCTCTTTGTTTTGTTTTGCCCACTCCTGTATTTGCAACCATTTTTGCATTTAGATGCATTTGATGAAGTAAAAATTGAATTTACATTTGGCTGTTTTAATAAAAGCAATTGGCTATTATTGTAAAGTTAATATAACAAAGTAAGACAGTGCTAAAAACATAGTGTGATAACATGTTCCTGTCCAAACCAATAATTCAAACTCCCACATTCTCTTATCTTTCAGATGAACACATTAAATTAAGCTCCAGAGGAAAAAACTTTGGGAACCAAAAAGCTTAAGCCTTTGTTGTTCAGTCTTCAACTCTGCTATCTCTCTTAATGTTAGAACTGAGTAAAGTAAACTTTTTCATTCCTTACCCTGGCCTTGTTTTAATCTTTTTAGGATGCTTTAATGAAAATGAGGTAACTAGAAATAAAAGAAGCTTTCCTTTTGTTTTGCTAACTTTTTGTTGTAATATAAATTAAAATGTTAGTTATAACTGTACAAACTCATTGTATAGTTATGCCTGCTTTATCATTAGTAAATTGCTTGCCCAGCTGCAAAAAAAAATCATAATAACATTTTGCTTGTTAGCTGTGTTTTTCTTAAAAAATGATGTGTTATAATCTTGGCTAAAGATCAAAATACTTCAAACTGTTCTTGGGAAAATGTGATAGTTGTTATTTTTTTTTTTTTTTACTCAGTGCATATGCTGATGTAATCCCACTGCTTGCTAACATAAAAAATAACAAAGACCTGGTGAGACTGTCAGCAGATGACACTTGCACTTGAAGGAGTGTTCTTGTCCCTCATTTTCCTTCACTGACGCCGTCATTTCCTGCAGCAACCTCTGTCACCTCAATTGTTGGAGCTGGTCCCCAGTACAAAATATATTTTAAAAAGAACTGAGGTACTCCTAATCCAGGAACTCCCAACCCTGACAGTATTTCAAATGCTCTGAAAGTGACCAGATATTCAGATGTTCCTTGTAGGTTGTTTCTGATTGTTGCCAGTGTGTGTGTGTGTGATGGGGGATCAATAGTGGTCATTACAGGAACCTGGATTCCCCCCTCCCTCAGCTGTGCTTGGGCAACTGTCCTCCTTCTCTTCCTCCCACTCATCACCCCACTTTTGCTGTCACTGGGATGAGGTGCCATGAGCTGAGCAATTAGGCGGCATCAGGGGGACAGAGCTGCGCCCAGAGCTGAGTGTTTTGCACTGGAGTGCTGCGGCCAGTGAGGCCCCACGGGTGACGCTGACGCCCTGACAGCAGGCAGGTGAGGCTGAGCACAGGCCTGGGAACATAAAGGTCCTGGTGCCGCTGCTGTGCAGACCCAGCCAGAGCCCTGCTATCCA